TAGGGGTGAAATTTTCGTTTCATATGAAACTTTCCATAATTAACGTTCATTATGTGCAACTCGTTTTTTGATTGTTGTTTTGTTAATTCATCTATCACTATAAAATGTTATTAATTGAGATTTCCTTCTCAAAGACATTTTTGGTGATTACCTAATTGGAAGCATTCTTATTTTGTACAACGAGTCCGACCCATAGTCTTAGAGCTTGCCCCTCTTCTGGAGCTCAAAAGGCATTGAAGCTGCGGCCACCAGTAGGGCAAAGGAACGCCACGTGTAGAAGTTGTCCCACTCCTCTGAAGCTGGAATATGCCAGCTGGTCTCTATGTATGCAAGTGATGTTCATCCTATTCCACGATGAATGAGAGGCAGAACGCCGATACAGCCAACCCTGGTCTACGGAATTGTTAGCGCCTTTTGAGAAGACAGCAGTGTTTGGATCTGGTTGTGCCATCTATTTCAATGCCTAAGCCCTATATGCTCACACACAGCAATGATCCCCACTGCATGTCAAGTGTGTGGCGTAATCCGAGAACTGATTGGTAATGAATGCCTTATTGAGCAGCAGTACAGTTCCAGTTGTTTTGTAAGAGTTATTATCTTGTAGCCACCACAATGGATGAAAAATCATACATTTAGCATTGATAAAGCCACTTTAGGTTGCGCCAGTTCCCACGTTCCTAGTTCTACTCAGGTTAGGAACGCGATGATTCTGAGGGTAAGGGTGTGCCCTAAAACAGAAGAATCGCCTCTTCCCGTCCTCCTCCCCCTCCCCGCCCCGTGGAAATGCAAGGAGGTTTGGCCTGAACACAAGAGTCAATCTGGCAGGGCACATCATTAGTTGGGGATTTTGGTCGAGTCTGTACGAACCCCATCCCCTTTTTTAGGAAGTTGGTGCGACCACCTGGTTCCCTCCTCATCGAGCTATCGAGCGGGAGGGAGGACTACTCACCTCACGGGCGACAGCTTTGTCCAACGGGGGGGGGCATTCGTACTACTTCATTTGCTTCCTCTAGTTCCAGCTACATGTCTCACTCCTGTCTGCGAAACATGTCAAACTGTTGTGAAGCTGCCGAACAAGGCTCACGAAGGCCACTTATGTTAAACCTGCGACTCGAAGACGGCTAGTCTGTATAGGTCATCGATGGTGGGAAGCCCCAGCAGAACGTGTCAAATTCCCCCTCATCCCCCAGTCGGAAACTGCGCCGCCGCCCCTTCTCTACCATTGAGGGAAGGGGGTATATGTATTAATATTTACAAATGAAACGAAAAAAACCCGTGAAAAGTCAGCAACCTCTCTCAGTAGAGACATGCGACCCATCCCAACAACAAGCAAATACCACTCCCGTCCCCCTTCACCACCTCTCTGAAACGAGAAAAATCAACTATCAAAAACTTTTTTCTCAGCCGAAATACGACCCCCCCTCGCTCCCAGCGGCCAAATACAACCCCTAACCTGCTGCAACTTCCCAGCAAAGATGTGTCCTGCAATTTGAGACCATGTTCCTGATAGTGAATTTGGCTACTTGCCCCTACACTTTTAGGACAAAAGCGATTATAAGACGTATAAATTTATTGCTTTTTCAATTAAGGAATGCAATCAGAAAATAAGACACTCATAACAAAATGGTGAGATAACAAATGAAGATCTCAGGTCGATTCTCTTGGATCGAGCGCTGTAGGACTCGAATCGAATCGGTGCAGTCGGACGTGACGGAATAAATTAACAACCATGACAATCGTTATCCTGATCGGTGGGTACGATAGGGATACCCTGTGTGAGAGACTCTATGACTTTACCATCACACTAGACACACTCTATTATGGCACATAATTAGAGGATATTAATTAATATTACTGTAATTAGACATATTTAGACCTATCAAAGTCTTTGAGAAACTCGGCTAATCGTTGGTTCATCTCTGCTCGCGACGGTCGTCGATCGGCTGATGACGGTGAAGTGACCGGTTCTGAAGGTGCGGGTGGAACTTCAATGGGAGACTGAGCAGTGTCTCCTTGTACAGGCTCTTCTTCATTTATGGTGGAGGTAACAAATTCTTCCCGGATCGCTGGAGTAGGCGAAGAGATGGAAGACGTTGGTGGAGAATCCACTCGTGGGATGGGCGAAGTGGGAGGTGTAGGTGATGCGAAGAGTGACGGAAACGGTGATGTAGGTGGAGAAGTCACCGTCTCTGTCACCGAACAAGTTGTCGAGGCATCTGTAGTCAAGAGGGCGTATCGGGCGAGCACAACTGAAAATAAGAAAACTTTGATATTTTCTAGGGGAGAGATCCAGAGGCTAAAGTAGTTTGGGGGTGCCACGCAATGGAGCGATCATGCCACATCATGTCTGCTGTTTCCCGCCTCTCTATTCAGACAGGGCCGTGACGTCCACACCCGTTGTAATGCTTTGGAAAGACGTGCAAGGCAAGACAAGATGGACTAGATAAGATGTGGCATAATCCCACCGGCTGGCACCCCCAAACGCTTTGCCTCGAAGTTTCTTCACGTACCGGTTCCAATGGTGGCTATCACTGCGAGTAAAGCTAAAACTATCCACGAGCCTCCGGATGACATCAAATCAGAGACGCGACTTTTAAACGTGGGTGGCATGCTCGAAGCCACACCCACTCTTGTGGACAGGGCGGAGCTCAGGGCTCCTTCCATGGCGGGGCTCTGATTACGTACTCGCCGCGTCACCAACTGTTCAGGAGAATTTCCACTGCAGGCTGGAGGCTGAAAATTAAGACTGTTTCAGTGTTGTAAAATACCAGGACTGATACAAAGGACAATAAATAGATTCGCTTATGACAATCAAGATAAATTTAGGTTTTTATTCCGGTTTCTGAGAAGAAAAACTGTGTTCTCTTGTTTTGATCCTCTTGGTAATGAATTGCTGTAGCATAGGTACGCGGTTAGGATGAGATGACGTGTTACTGACGTCACGTAACAAGTTGATGACTTGTCTTGAAATGTTATTCCAGCAGTGACACCAATGCAGGCTTCCCTGTCAGTGAGGCAGCTTCAGACTCCGCGCTACAACGACGACCCGCTGTAACGAGCTACAGTTGCAAGACGCACACCTGTCCTATCTCACAGGTTGGATTCGCCGGAGCCGCCGGCGCTGCATGATATATGAGAGTCCATTGACTTTGAAATGGCCATTGCCATCTCTTTAATCTTAAAGACAAGCCCTGCGCTCAGAGTAGTAGCATAGTCGTTGCCCTTCCTTGTGCAGGTAAGTCCCCCCAAGCTGAGAGACTGTCCAAACTCGTCGCGGTTCACAGTGACGGAAGGAGCGAGCTAAAGCCGCTCAAATGTTTACTGTCTAAGGCCCAGCCCCGTTGGACCGCCCTACTTGTACTGCCCTCTGACGAAGAGCCGCCTCAGTTGCTTCTTCGTTCGGTACAAGCATTAATCGGAACTGCATGTACTTTTTGCTAACCGCGCTCGTGCCCATAAATAATTCCGCTCTCCTTCATCACATTTTATTCATTGGGAGCACATACAGTCACTGCTCAACACATCTCGTAAGGTAAAACGCGTAAAAATCACGAATGATGCAATTTCTGTGGTGCAAAAGCTCGACATGCACCAAAAGCCGCACACTGCACGTAACCCCAAATTCGGACGCCAGGTTTTTGAATTTTTCCTTTTTTTAAGTGTCTTTGTGGTTTTTCATATTTCTTTTCTTTGAATATGTTGCACTACTGGAAAATGCCATAAAACGATTTGTGAGCCAGGGGTTGCCACGGACCGCAGGGCGGTGGAACTGTAAGGGAGCAATTTTGTTTGTTTTTTGTTTATGGTGTTCTTGAGGGCTCTTGTTGCTTTTTTCCTTCATTGAGGAATTACTTATCAGCTACTGTTTCATAATTGATCAGCAATTATCCTTGACACTTTTATCGCGGGAGCTGTCTTTAAAGGCAGTTCTCTTTATAATTTGGTGCTCGGCCTAAAATGCTAGTAGGGCGCTATATAGTGGGGGGAAATGGCGAAAGAACGGAGTGAAACGGTCAAAATCCTGCGAAGAAAGAGCCTCCGTTCTCAATGGAAATCAATTTTGGACGAGTTTCCTGTAGGCATCTTGCCAATAACCGCTACCGAAGGTACGGCTGCATATGTGTACCCATATATCATGCAGCATCACGGCCGCTTCATACCAATCCCTTCGCTTCATAATTTGCTTAGCAAATGAATCGATTAGAGCGTCGGTCGTCCATTTGTGGGCGGGCGGGCGTTTGGGTCGGTATGTTGTGGCTTGATAGGGCCCTTATAAGGGCACCTCCTTTGGAAAAGGCATTATGCAGCGCCTGCTCAGGGTCGCGGAATTCCGTCCTGCCATTAATTATTGTCTTGGGGGATTTATCGTGCCAACTGGCTTTAACCGGTAACAAAATTGTGACACACCAATTATGGTCTCAGTAAATTTCCTTGAAAGCAATGGACATGATAGATGGAGGGGAGGAGTTTGCCGCCAGTGTCGTTGGCGAAAGAAAATGGCTGAGTGGGGTGTAGCCTAAGGCCCTCTCGCAGCCCTTCAACCAATGACGCTAGCAACAACCGCCCCTTCAGCGATCGTGCATGCCTTCAACACCACAAAGGCCACAGCAACCGGTAATGTTGAGCGAAAGCTTACCGTAACACCTTCACAACCGTCTCCATCCCTTGTGCACAGGCTCAGTTTGCAGACAAATTTGAGCTGATCTGCTTCAGTGAAGGAAAAGACTTTACTTTCAGCGAAGGCAGTAAGGCTGTCGTCCGAGTATCGCGGATCGGACAATAGTGCCAAATCGGAAGAGCAGCTGAAAGAAAAGCTGGAGCACTACGAAACAGCCAAAAATCATTTCAGAGCGAAAAAAAGTAATTAGCGTACCCTCGATTGTCTACAATCGGGAATCTCTTTTCGACATCGTCACTGGCGTAACAACTATGAATTTGAATACCGTAGACGTTGTTAGCCTCTGCAATGATGTTTCGTATTGATGTTTTGTACCTAAACTTACAAACACACCTTCTCCTCCATCACATTCCCATCGATGATATACAGTTTGGCCGACGAATGCATCCTTTACGATGGGACCATCGGGAGAATCCTTCCGGATCGAATAGGCGCATGTCGGCGGTACCGACGACAACGAGATCGTCTCGGCAATCATGAGCTCTCTAAAATAATGCTATGAACGTCTGTCAGGGATTCTCTCCTGAACCTTCTTAAACTGGAGCTACCGTTTTTGTCTAATAGAAAAGGTGCGACTCCAGTCTGCGCGTGCGCGACTTCGTGGTGGCACGAAAGTGCCACTCACTCCTCGACTAGCTGGCCAGGAGGTTTAGGTCGTCAGTTCCACTTGGCTGTGACGCACACAAAGTAAGACGTTATTTCCTGAGTAGCTGACTTGAATGTCGCGACCGCGCTCACCAGTAAGCCCGCGGCCACGCCCTGCGCAGCTTCAGGAAGGTCTTCTAGTCAGCGAGAAATCAGCTACAGCAACAAGTTCCTTTCTTCTGATCATTACTGAAAATTGTCACCACAAAAATTGTGTCCGTTACTTCCAGATAGGTCACGGAGCGATTGGATCCTCCCACGGTCACGATCGATAGAACTGCGGCCCGCTATCATTTGGGTGGGCAACCTCAATTGTCATCTTGTTCTTGTTTTATCCTTTCTAGAGCCCTTTTGCAATGCAACTTCAGGCTCTGTTCGGCTCAGGGCAGGGGGGGGAGGAGGCGGGGGTAGGGGCTTTTGCACTTCCTTAGTTAGTTAGTTAGTTAGTTAGTTAGCTGTTTCGTTAGTTAGTTAGTTAGCTAGTTCCTCTTGCCGATTCATTTCAGCTAGCTACAAGTGAGCGACCTTGGTTACAGGATTTTACGATTCTCCACAAGGTGCCCCATTCAAGCTTCGCTGAGTATCACTTGATGCCCCCACCAAGCCGAATTGCGTCCAGCTTCCATTCTCTTTTTTCGGATTTTCGATGTAATCGTCTCGCTGGTTTCTTGATGCTAA